GCCGGCCCATTGCCACTTCAGCTTACTAATCCGTTGGGCTATGTCGGTCACTCTGGTTTTACTGCGGATATCCTCGTTTCTGAGTCTATCACGCAGTGAAACTCCGAGCATAGCCCTCTCCATAGCTTGCTGAGCGACCTTGAGCGTCCTCATACGGCCAGCGGTGAAGGACCACGTCTCAGATCCGTAAGTCATCACTGGCAACACGCACTGGTTATACACTTTAGTTTTCAGAGATTGAGGTATACCTGACGAGACGATGTGTCGTAATTTCCCGAACGCTGCCCAGCCGAGTTGAATCCGTCGATTGACCTCTCGAAGTTGGACTTACCTAGTCGGACTATTTGTCCCAGGTAAACGTACTCGTCAACAACTTCGAGCATAGTGCTCCCAACAACTACCGGCATAGGTGTGACATGGATATTAAACATGATCTTTGTTTTGTCCATGTTCATCTTAAGACCTATCCGTTGGGAGACACCATTGAGGTCATTGGGCATAGTGCTAAGGTCCTCCAGCGATTCTGCCATAAGGACTATATCGTCGGCAAATCGAAGGTGAGTGATATACTCGCCATTGATGTTAATACCGTATCCTTTCCAGTCCAGTAGCTTGAAAACGTCTTCCAAAGCAGCGGTGAAGAGTTTCGGGGGATATAACATCACCCTGTCTTACACCTCTCTGCAGTTGGATAGGTTTCGTACTCTGGTTCTGTACTCGGATAGCCATCGTAGCCCTACTGTACAAACACTTCAGCACTTCAATATACCGACAGTCAACTAGGCACCGCTGAAGAGACTGTAGCACCGCCCAAATTTCGACGGAATCAAAGGCTTTCTTATAGTCCACATACGCCAGGCAAAGTGGCAGATTGTACTCTTCGGACTTCTGTACAATTTGCCGAAGGGTATGTATGTGGTCTATGGTACTGAAGCCTTTTCGGAAACCGGCTTTTTCGGGAGGCTGGAAGTCCTCGAGTCTGTGTGCGAGACGATTCGTAATGACTCTCGAAAACAGTACGTAGACGCGGCTCAGAAGGGAATCGGTGTAGTTCTTCAAGAGAGCGTTGTCGCCTTTCTTAAAGAACAAGACCACCGCGCTTCTGCTCCACGCCTCCGGAGTAGTGCCACCATGGAGGACGAAATTGAAGAGCTTCTGAAGGACTTCAAGTACCGGTGTTCCACCCGCTTTCAGAAGCTCCACTGTAATTCCATCCTCGCCCGGGGCCTAGCCGTTTTTAAGGTGGTGGAGATCAATTCTAATCTCGCTCAGACTGACGTCCGGGATATCACCGGAATAGTGTCTGATAAAACTTGCTCTTGGATCGTTACTCACACTTGCGTGTGGCTCCAACGATGATGTGTACAGCTGCCCATAGAACCTCTCAATCTCACTCTGAATCTCAGGTGTCCCGGAAACGATGTTGCCACACTCAGTCTTCAGCCTTGACAGTTCCCCCCCGAACGGGTTCCCGCCTTGTCGTGGCGGGGGGCTTAGTAGCCGTGGCTTGGTCTCCCACGGTGAACAAAGAGGAACCCACGTGGCTGGCCCGAGGTGAAGGGCCGGCCTGAGGTGGCCACTCCGAGTGGGCTTGGGGAGCCCACTTTGGATGTGTGCTGGCGGACTGCAGCGAGTGGGGACTCGCGCACCCTCTACCGCTGCAGCCGAGGTGGAGTCGCGGAGGAAGAGGAGTGTTGGTATGGCGATGCGCCACTCGCCCTATCCTTCGCGACTCAAACGGGGCCGCACCGTTGATGCGGTGGTGGTGGGGCTGCGGGAGGAGAGGATTGTCGATATTGCGAGGCGCCGCTCTCCCTACCCTCCGCAGCCGAATCTTGGTTGGCGGCGGAGCCATAGACCAGATCCGCCGCTGGGGTCGGGAAGGCTAGTACTTATAAGTGCTCGTTTTTCCTGGCCCCATGGCCTTTGTGCATCGGACGCGGGGGCGTCTGTTGCACAGACGTAATTGGAGGCCGTGGAGGAAGGCGCGCCATGTGTTCTGGTGCGCCTTACCTGGGAAGGAGAACGGGGAGGAATTTTCCTCTCCCGAGGAGGTGCTGCCATAGGGCGGCAGGCGCTAGTAGGGCCGCGGATGTGTGCGAAAGCGTTCCCGTAGCCCTGCCAATATGCGACAAAGGTGGAACACCATGGGGTTTTAGTCGGTGCGAGTCCGTCATAACCCGTCCTTGCCCCCGCGAGGCGGGTATGCGTAGGCATTTCCCCATGAAGAAAAAAAAAAGCCTTGACAGTTGGCTCTTTCTGGCAGACAGATCTCTGGCAAAGACTTTGGAGCCCTGGTTCCGCTCGATCGCTTCTTTAATACTAGCAGTATTAAAGTTGCGTAAGTCTCGCCGCATGCATTTGGAGATCTGTCTGTTCAGTTGCCTGTATGCTGTCAAATCTGTTGACGATTGCAGCCTCATCTCCCGTCTAACAGCCATGAGATTAAGAGTGTGATCGGAGAGTTTTTGTGTTCTTCTGCGGCGGGTCTTGCAGAAATTAGCTCCGACCGCATGGACAGTTTCCACGAGCTTGTCATTCATATCGTCCACTGCATTGCAATCCTCTAGGCACTGAAAGCGGTTTTGTAACTCGAGCTGAAAGGTTTCGGGATTCTGGATTAGAGCACGAGGGGGGACGGAGCGTTGACTTCATTTGACGAGACCTCTCCAACTTAACATTTAGGTTCAGTGTGCCTCTAACCATTCGGTGATCGCTGCCAGTTTTCACTCTTGCGATCACTGAGACATCGCTGAACAGTTGGCGTCTGGTAGTCATAATGAAGTCAATCTCATTTTTTGTCGAACCGTTGGGGCTCGACCAGGTCCACTTCCTATGGGGCCGCTTCTGGAAGAAAGAGTTCATCATAAAGAGTCCCTCTTTCTCCATAAAGTCGGCCAGCTGCTGGCCCCTACGGTTCCGTTGCCCTACTCCAAATTTCCCCACCTTCAGCTCACCGCTTTCTCTTGTGCCTAGTTTTGCGTTGAAGTCTCCCATCAACACCGTGTAGTGGGTTTTGGAGGAATGCATGGCTCTGGAAATATCCTCATACATTTCCTCCACCTCCTCATAGGGATGTGGGGATCTTCACAAAGTTGTTGACGAGAGACTTGTGGACGATAAATCTGACACCTCCTTGGAACAGATGGTCGCCCTCCCGGTGGTAGAACAAGTTTTCGGACTCGAGGATTGCCGTATCCTCCCCCTCTCTTCGGACCTCGGATAATCGAATAATATGCCAGCGCAACTTGTCTACCTCTTCTTCCAGCTCCAGTATCTTCTCGTCAGTCCTCAGAGTGCGTGCGTTATATGTTTCCAGGTCGAGTCGTCGTAGGTGGCAACCGAACCTCCACCGGAGATTCTTAGCACCCCCAGCCCCGGCGTTACCATGGTCGCCACCGTAGCCAGGAATAGCGGGGCCGCCGGGACTGGGGGCCGTTTTTTTGCGTCGTTATTCATGGGGGGATATTTGCCATAGTTGCCACGCTTGGCGAGCGGGTTGGCAACCGCAGTTTTTTATTATAACACAGTTGTTATCAGAAAGATGCTGCTGCCCATCTCCTGCCTGTCTCCCTCTGTCGCCTCTTACGATACCCACGGGAAGATATGGGGTAGTGGATATTCTCAACCGCCACTACACGGCATTTACGAATGTCAAATATATATATTCATTTATTTATTATTCTATCAAAAGTGTTCAAAAGTCTGTGTCCTAAGGGCGACAGATGAAAGTAAAGCAAGATGACCAGTGGCATTTTCCTGATATTAAATAAAATTAATAAATAAGTACCTACTTTTTACAAGTGCAGCTTAAGAGCTATTTTCACACAATAATATCCTCCCCAACCAGATTACACTTAATGTATATGGAATTATCGACAATCAATTAATTACCTACCTATTACGTAAGTGGATTAAGTAAAACCAGATATTGAATATATCACATGTATAGGTCGGTAGGATAATAAGTCAACGCAATGGGATTTTGGACAATGGACGACTCTCGGTTCATATTGTACAGTTACTTTGAGAAATTCTAAATAAAAATTCATACAAAGTGAATATTTACTGAAAAAATAAGATTTCCATAACACTAAAATCAACAAAATCTAGAAATTTATTACGGAGCGAAATGTGTTTATCAACCTATATATGTATGTAGTATGTTGTTTCCTTAGATTATTGAATCTCGAATAATCTAGAAATTTATTACGGAGGGTAATGTGTTTTTCAGCCTATATATTATGTATGTAGTGTGTTAGTTCCTTTGATTATTGAATCTCGAGTAATCTAGAAATTTATTACGGAGGGTAATATGTTTATCAGCTTAAATATGTATGTAGTATGTTATTTCCTTAGATTATTGAATCTCGAATAATCTAGAAATTTATTACGCAGGGTGTGATGTCAGCGTATATATTTATGTAGTATGTTATTTCCTTAGATTATTGAATCTCGAATAATCTAGAAATTTATTACGGAGGGTAATGTCAGCGTATATATTTATGTAGTATGTTATTTCCTTAGATTATTGAATCTCGAATAATCTAAGGTTAACTCCCTCGTGATGCTTAGAGCTCTCGGTAAAATTTTCAAAACTTACAATAAAGCTGTGATAAAGTTCTTATGTTATAATCGTATAATGGGGGTAATATTTGTAATCATTTACGCAGTCGGGTTTATTTTAAAAGTATTAACCTTGCTTGTAAGTCCTACTGAAGACAAGACATTTAAAGTATACTCCCTTTTAACTGTTAGAGCATTCTTAGTTCAGAGGGCTGGCAATCATTTGGCATTTTGATTCTTAATCGAGATGCGGGTATTTGGTGTGTATGAGCCACAACTAATGGCATTAATTTCTTGAAAACATACCCTATTTATCACGCTATGCAGACGCGTGAAAGTATTCAATATTTTACAAGATTTTTATCAATTACTCATCAAAAATCTATTTATTGGTAGATATAAATTAATTTACACGTTTTCTCTTTTTTTCATAGACATTGGACGAATGGTCCTTCGACGTGTTTGCCCTTCACGAAGCGTCTTCAGGCGCACCTGTGAAGTACCTGGGATACGAACTTCTGAACAGATACGGAATGATCCACAAGTTCAAGGTAAGCAGGCCACATTTTTTCATAGCCCAATAATAATTGTCAAATAAGTCTTTCATCCCGTATTTCGATCATGTCGGCCAGCCTAAGCTGAGACTAACCCGTTTGTACAAAACAGGATTATAGTGAACTAGTGTGTGCGCAAGCACTAATATCTAGTCCATCACTCTCATAGTCTAATTGGACGGTGTTCCGACTCGACCGGAGAGATATCAGGCGTAGAACGTAAGTAGTAGTAACGTCTTTACGAGTTTTCCAAGCCAATCAGCACTTAAAATTGCTATTATTTATTGGTGCCGGCGGGGATCGAACCCGGGTTGCGTGCGTACTGTGAAATTTGCAGCGAGTGTTAACCCACTGAGTTACCACGGCTCACTCAAGGATATAGTTGAATCTTATTATTTAAGTAAGTAACATTACGTATCTAACACGAAATAAAATATTCTGATAACCATAGAATATCAAATCGTTATCCTAAAATATCTTTAAAGTCGCGTTCGGATGAAAATGAACAGTTCTTTTAAATTACGTCTGAAAATTTTTCCAGCTTCGTAGAATTCTATAGAGTTAATGGGTTGAGAATTTGAGAATTTAAGCAGAGAAAACTCATATATAATTCGGTGTTTCATTTTGTATACCTCGCCCCGTTCAATTTGGTATCTTTTGTGGATTTCTGAATTAGTTTCAACGGAAAAAACTGTTGTCAGGGATGGTTTGTGTATTTTGTACAGCGACCTTATTTCTGGCTTCTATTTATATATAACTTGAGATGACAAGAACCCCCTTATCTTGCAAGAATTTAGTTCTTTTCGTTTATTTCTCTCCAAATATGTATTTTATATTTTCTTTTGCTAATAATTTATATTTTAAATACAAAAAGAAAGCTGAAAAAACAACCACAACTGTCTAAACACTCAAGGAAGAACCTTTCTGAGAGTCTAGACTTTTTACTTGAACTACTTTCTTTATCTTACATAATATGTTTACGAGAAAGCCATACATTATATATGCCAAACATTTATTGGAGGTCAAAAGATTTTCTGGTGTTTCAAAGAAAAACCTTCCACCACAAACCAACCACCAGTCGACTTTTACCACTCCTAAAGGACCCTACTTTATTTTGAAATAATACTAGTTTTTACGGATTTTATCGCGTATATTTGACTATAAATACCCGACGTTTCGAGCGCTTTACAGCACCCATGGTCACGGGGGGGGGGGGGCTGAGATCTTCAACGTCCAAATGTCATAGATCGGAACAAAAGTTAAATTTTTATCTATGGTAACCGCTGTTAACTATGACATTTGGACGATGAATATCTCAGTCCCCCCCCCCCCGTGACTATGGGTGCTGTAAAGCGCTCGAAACGTCGGGTATTTATAGTTAAATATACGCGATAAAATCCGTAAAAAACTATATTTCAATGTGTAGTGTTCGCGTAAATATAAGTAACCCTACTTTATTCCCTATTGGTTGAATTCACGCATTATCTACTTTCCACAAAAAAGTATTTAGTAATTTTTTTTAAAAGATCTAGTACTAAAAGTGGTAATAAATCGTAAAAGATAAAAGTTGGTTAAACGTGAAACATTTTAGTAAAACATCCATTCCATTACAACCTGATATTTTGACTTGTTATCAGGGAGATGCTGATGTCCATATGCTGTTTCTTTTTCCCGTGTTGCTTCTTACTATACCCACCAGATGATCGGGATACGCCTTATTATCTCGCCGCCAAGACGACAATGCTTAAATATTAATTTAAAATTGCTATAAATAAATCACTCAATAATCCGATTTTCGAACGGTGAAATCAAACAGAAAATGATAACACTCAAGGAGAACGAAATGAAGTTTGCCGATATAATTAAATAAGCACCACTTCGAAGGATCGCAATCGTATTTATCATTTAGGCTAAGAATTCGTGGAGAAATATTTACCCTTGCCCGCAGCGGGAGAACTGTTATTTTATTTCGAAACTTACGAGACATCATTTCTGTGTGAATTCGTACTCGCAAAGGTGGAAAGTAACGATCATTTGACTCCGCCACCGTCAAAGGAACTTTTCGCAATTTCAATAATTTCATTTCTTTTTAGAACTTGATTTATCGATTTTCAAGTAGAAGTACTGGTAGTTGTGAATTCGTTTTGATTTTTTAAATTAAAACTATAAATTACTACAGCTTTCATATTGTAAAGAAATGTTACGCTTATAATACATGGTAGAGCCACGCTGCAGCTATATTATGGATGTGGCACGAATGGGTCGGTTCGACCGGGGCAGAACCACGCTCTCACAGAATACCAGCGTAAAATAGCAGCTCAATGCTGCTGTGTTTCGTATGGTAAATGTAGAGAATCGGAGACCCTTTTTATTGGATACGAGGCATTCCTGTTTAGTCCTCAAGAGTGACAACGCATTTACATTTTGATTCTTAATCGAAAATAGATGTAGATGTCTACGGACCACAGCATCCACTTACTATCAGGTGGACTGTGTGCTCGTTTGTCACCCTTATTGTATAAAAAAAGCGTTGCAGCATTTTATGGCTGCGGCACGAATGGTTCGATGAGGGAAGTACGTTTTCACAGCGAATAACAGAGCAATTTTGCTGCGCTTCTAATTACAAGAGGATACTGTAGATTATATGCTCGTTGGTCACCCTTATTTGTGTATAATTTATGTATTAACGTAGAAAAGACATGTTATATTCAATTTAGTAATTATGGAACAATGAATAATAATCTTAATATATATTGCAATGGACAATCTGTTAATGAAATGTATGATACAAAATTTCTGGGAATATTATTGGACAAACATGTGAACTGGAAAGTCCAAGTTGAAAAAGTCTGTTCTAAAATAAATAGTTACATTTTCCTCCTTAGCAGACTGAGAAGAATTACATCTCATGAAACCTTACTAACGGCGTACTATGCATACATTTATTCTGCACTTGGTTATGGTCTTTTGCTTTGGGGCAACAGTACAGATGCTGTTATTAAGGCCTTTACAGCCCAAAAGAAATGTATTCGAGCTATGAATGGTTTGGCACCAGATTCATCGTGTAAACCGTATTTTAAAAAATTGCACATCTTGACGCTGCCATGTATGTACATCTTAAATGTGGTATGTTTTGTTAAAAGTAATATACTTTTGTTCACAAAGTTAAGAAATACTACACAGAGAAACTTGAGGCATACTGAAAGATTGACACATAGTGTAATGCCAAGCACTATCCTCTATAGGAAAAATTGTTCAGCTATGTGTATACAAATTTTCAATGCACTGCCTACAGAGTTTCAATCACTCCCAGAAGTACGTTTTCGCTACTTTGTTGAGGGATATTTAAAATTTATGATTAGTATTAGGCATCACTTTTAAAATTAATTAAGTAATTACAATCATATTACTTTAATTAAATTAAATGTCATAAAATTATTATGTTGATTTTGAAAACATGTTATTTATTTTATTAGTTGTGAAAATGTAATTAATGTATTAGATAAATATTTGTATGTCAACATTATGACAAAACATGCTGGACTTAAATAATTTATCAACCTGTATTGTACAATGTTTTCTGCAAATAAATTGTGATTATGATTATGATTAAAAAAAGTAAATTAGGTTTTGTTTTAATCATCTACAAAAAACTTAAAGTACTGGCTAAAAAGGAGGACAGGGCTGCGTATTACAATCTGCTTGGAAAAAAATTAAATCCAAACCTAAGCATACCACTGCAGGAATATCAAACGCTCCCTTTCTCGTTCCGCGTAGATCGAACCGTAATGTATCGTTGAAAAGCTGAAAATCACCCAGGTTGACTGTTATATCAGGACATCAAACACCTCAGTCTCCCCCTGACTGAGGGTGCGAGGCATCCGAAACAACAGGAGTTAAATATAAGTCTTTAAAAAAAACAGTAAAATTAGATTAATGTTACGTGTAGTGCGAATGCAGTAAAAAGTTCACTGATAAACCCAGGCCTCCCCCATAGAATGCCTCATTAGGAAGATATCTGTCGTATCTGCGGGCGACAGGCAACTGCATTTTTTATTAAACTAAGTAGTTATCAAGAAGATGCTGCTGTCAATCTCTTATTTCCTTTCCTATCTCCCTCTATCGCCAATGCCCTTTACGACACCCATAGGATGACTTTGGTTGTGGACACCTTATACTGAAGGTACACGGCAAGGGATAATTACCACTACTTTATTCCAATTTCAACAGTTAATATTCGATAATGTCAGGGAAAAAGTTGCGATAAGAGTTTCGTTTGCGTATTTTAAACTCCAAGAGAAGCAATACAAAGTTCACTCGTTTGCATGAACCACTGGCTGAGAAGCGACGTTTTCCACAGCGGAGTGCCTGCTCTTTGATATCTCAAAAAGTTTCTTACTCCACAATTTCCTATTCACTTATCTTGTAAAGTGATTTCATTTCTACACGTGAAAGTTAGATTACGTACGCGGTGGTATTTTATTAGAATTCTGGATTATGCATAGTCGGTTTTTATCTTCTGTATATAAATATATATATATATATATATATATATATATGTGTGTGTGTGTGTGTGTGTGTGTGTGTGTGTGTAAGCGAAATATCACTCACCGACTCATCACGAGATCTTTAAAACTGTACACTCGATTGACTTAAAATTTAGTATAGTTAACCATTTCGCAATTTAGACGCTCACTAAAAACGAATTTTACAATAATCCTATTAAAAAAATCTTACGTTCTACGTTATTATCGTCTATTAACATCGTGCACCCACCAAAGCGAGCGGGTATTAACTAGTAATTGATTATATATAGGTATTAGTTAGTTTACAAAAAAGGTGGGAAGGGAAACAGATTAATTTATAATACAATAAATACCTGTATTCAGAATTAATATAAAATCCTTAAGATGATCTTAGATCATATTATAACGTCTAGATAACGTGACGTGCTGTAATTACATTTCAAAACTAGGGACAGAAATGACGGGCTTGTATGCGTGACAGCTTCATTATACACTCGCGCTGGCTATCTTTGTGTGAGTGCCGAATGGATATCGATTCAAAGATTTGTCACCATCGTGTGGAGATATAAAGTAATTCATCGTGGGAGAAATATAGGAAGTTGTACATATAGTTGTATACATACATAGGTAATAATTACCTACTTTCAAAACTGATACTTCTAAATTCGTATAGTTTTCGATTACGAATTCGTTATTAGAAATGCAATCAGCTGTCTTCATTTTCAAAATTCTCGTTACTTCACTATTTAAAAATCAATATCTGGGAGGCCATGTGGTCTATGTAGATGAAATCGTCGTCAGAATTGAACAATTGGGGCCGCTATTTTGAAAATTTACTTCTGCACCGTTAACTTTTAAATCTCGACTCGACGACCTGCAACAGTGTCAAAAGCGTAAGACAACTTGTTCTGCAATCATTAATACGCTTGCTAATCATGCATCAATGGACTATTTTGGGCTGATAAAGATGAAGTAGAAGAAAGTAAATATGCAGCTTAAAGATCTTATAGCCTCTTAAATAAAATTTCGTTTAGCATGTAAATTTTAAATAGAACCTTCGTTGATAAAAGTTCGTTCCCCACCGCTGTCCTATTCGACGGTGAAAGAAAAAACATTAAAAGGAAAAAATATCAAATATATTTCGAAGACACGTGAGTTCCGCCAATTTTGCGCTATTTTTCTGCTGGATCCTTTTGGAAAAAATGAGGCCATTAATTTGATTTTTCTTACATTAAAGTCTTATTAATCTTAACATTATCTTTTTATCAGCCCGTAAAATCCATTGCTGGATATGGGCCTCTCAATGGGCGGATTGACTCGCAGTGCCAGACGTCTTGCTTCTCTGACTTGCTGAATAATGACCAATAAACATATGGCATAATGATAACTTAAATTGAAAACTTTTAAAAACCGCGAAACAAAAAGAGCTGACGATCTTCAAACGGCTGAACAGAGTTTCTTGAAACATCTAAGAACACTCTATTTAGACCATTCAAACTAAAAATACTTAATTAAAAGCGGTTCATCGTTCAAGACCTATGACAAGAGACAGACGCACAGATTCACATATACACATGTACACACTACAAACTTATAACACTCCTGTGTTTTGTCGGAGGTTAAAAAACACAACACTATAAAGGACAATGTCCAAAATCGCCCTGTTACATAAAAGCATCGGTCATACTCGATAATTAATTATCTTTTTTATCATATTAGTTGCAAATACTTTAATATCACGGACTAGCTACCATACCATAATGAACATTAAAAGTATTATATTCGATTAGTGACATTAAAATCGCAGCCATCTTCGCCAAACGTAGTGCGATGTTCAAAAAATGACTAGGGATGCCCAATCAATTGTAATCGATCTTTTGATTTTTCAATGAACTGTTGCATATTTTTTAATCTGTTTCACATTTTGACTTTATTTTGAAAAAAGTTTAAATAGAAACTACAATAAAAACAGTCAATCCCTATTCCTTTTTGTTATTCCCTAAAAGCATAATTTAAAAAACCTACTTTACCTAATGAATGAGGTCATATTTGATTTTAAATAGGTATTTAAAATAATGCTGAAGTAAACAAGTTAATTACTAGTATAATTATGCTTGGTTTATTTTATGTTTATTTCATACATATTTTTGTACCTAATAATTGTAGAGATATAATTACAAATTGCTGTGTGTATATGCGTGTAATATACATTAATTTCTTACCCTCATCGGCATTTTTACTCAATCTCCATGTTAAAACTTTTATTTCTTATAAATCAGTGTAGAGATCTAACTTTTATTACATAAAAATTAGGGTAAACACTATGTTGGTAAACATTATATCGACAAAATTATTCGAGGATATACATTTACAGCACTAGTATTATTCGTCTATGTTGTCAGCACTGTTATTCAAAAAATAAACCCCATGTTTTGATGTTGGTAACGTAGTTTGGCGCCCTTTCATACATTTACTTTTACTAAGGGAGTCCCGCCTCTTAAACGTAGTGATTATATTCTCTTTGTTATGCAATGAAAAGTGTATTTTGTGTAAATTGCGGCTCTGCTGGTGGTTTTACGTTGTTGGTACTAAAAACTGTTAAATAATTCAGGATATTGCTTATCTGTTTCTTAAAAATTCTACTAAACGATAAAAACCATAATATTAGTAGTTCTGTTATAACCTCGAAATCTGATACTTTTTTTGAAATATATCTTTTCTGCAGCTAGTCCGCTATAAAAATAAGATCGTATAGGAATTCCGTAATGATCGACAATACAACACTATAGTTAATTTGACTTTATTCCATACTCCATTCCATGCTCTTCTTGACTATAATGTACCTACATTTAAAAGATGCTAATAGCCAATATTACTCGCTATTTATAAATTTAATTAAAATAAATAAATAAATTAAATTTAATTAAACCAAGAGATTCAATGAGTCAAATGTACACGTAATGAACTTCATTTGCGTAAACCTTTACCGAGAACCGTTCCCTGTGTGCTGTTGGGAAACTTTGAAAGTTTCCGGCAATGTGGATCCCTATCGAGTTAATAGGAACGTTATTTATGCAGCGAAATGTTGAATTTCATACGTATTGAGCCATTTCAAGTTCTTTGATGTCGCCGGTTTTGATTAATGTTTTCAGTTTGAAACAGTTCTTGTTATGTTTTATTTCTCCTCACTATTTACACTGGATATTTATGACATTATACAACTTAATATGTACATGTTCAATACTTTTATGCAATGTAGTGTTTGCTGGTGGCTTTCTCGAGCTGGTACCTGACAGATACGGGTGATGATATTAAATGACTTTCTGTTGCTTCTGGTTTCAAACTACTAACTTAGAAATTAACTTTGGTAAAGAATAAATAAATGCCCCGTCTCTGCACTGGTAATATTATCTGGTTTATACAACAGTGTCACCTACCGGGTCCAAGTAGGTCTATAACCTTTGCGGAAGTGCAAGTAATATGTTGACAAAATTTTACCACAATCTGATGAACGGTATGGCAGTGCATAAAATACGAACGAACAAATATTTATATTTTAGATATATAGATTCGTACTTTGGTACCAATAAAAACGATGTGAAAATTGTGTTATTAAAAATTACACACACTATCTTTCCTGCGCTTTCGCCGGATATTATCTTGATTATAAGCTAATTGTGAATATTTTTGTATTAATGTATCTAAGGTAAACAGTTGTCGTACCGTCAATACTTCACACTTTGTAAGTTCAGAGATCGAGTAATCGTAAAACACATTTAAAATTTCTCTATGTTGTCTTTGATTTTTTTGAAAGTTCCGCACCAAGATGTTAATCAATATGTTATTATGGATTTACAGAGAGCATAGTGAACAGTTTTTATAATATTTTTATAGCAACGTAAAATATTAAATATTTTTCACAGGTGCAGTCAACAATCCTGGAGAACTTCCTCAGTAGGATAGAAGAGGGCTACTGCAAATATCACAACCCTTACCACAATAATCTCCACGCCGCAGACGTCTCACAGACCGTGCACTACATGCTCTGTCAGACCGGACTCATGGTAGATGACTTTTATAAATGTATTTCAATTTAAAAATTATTTCAATGTAAAAATATTAAGATTGCAGCAAAAATGTACCTACTCGAAGGGAAAGATTAACACTCTCAGAATTAAGAATTAAATCACTTAATAGCAACATAAATGCTGCTGTGTTTTGTATGGTGACTGTAAATAACCTAGTGCACTTCTAAAGGTACGAGGCGTTCTATATTACAGTACGTTTGCACTGAGAAACATCTAACACGTAATGTTTTGAAACAAATCGCATAAAATAAATCACACAATGTGTTTTATTCTACTCTCATGATTCTTCTGTCACACCCAACCACCCAACACCCAACTTTCACTGCCATACATTAAGGTAGGAGAACTAACACAGCATTGAGAATTACCATACGTGCCTTTTTCGACACATTCTGATTTCCCACAAATAGAGTGAAGAGTCCCATTTAATCTGTGTGCTACATTCACTAATCTTTATTTATTATTTCCTTGTCATGCACAAACACATCCATTTGATCATACCAACTCTCCTTATATTCGTTTGTTTTACTTTCTTCTCTTCAAGAAAAAACACTTTCGTGCTACTTGCAGACACAGGCACACACACCCAAACGCGCGCATGAACCTACACAACCTACACAAACGCAATACTTAAAGATATGGATAATGATAAGTTAATCTAACAGCTGCTCTGACACCGATCGTCTAATTCAAAACTGGCTACGCCTCCTTGTACTTTAGGAAGGTTTTCTTTTATCATGTCAAGTATAGTAAAAGTGTTAAAATCTACAAAAACATCAAAGCTCATACCGCCACCGCCATTCTCCTATCGGAGCACCAAGCTTACTGCAGGTTGCCATCCACACTTGGTTGAAATTACGAATATTGGCACTAAGCGATAAAGGTCATCTATATTCTGCTTCGCACGACCAGATTGTGAAATTTACTGTCGCCAGCATATTTTCCGGACCCATACGACAAACTTATGCCCATAAAGGAAAAGAACAGGACGGAAGATATGAAGGTACAACCATTTTAGTGGTTCTAGTACACTGCCAATATGTTGAAAAGGAAACACCTGGTAAACAGTTTTAAATTGAGGTGTTTGTTGTCATTATTGCTAACTTACTGTCTGCTTTAGATAAACGCCCTAAAGCATACCAAAATTTAACTAGTGTTTTTGAAATATTTTGACAGTTCAAGTCTATTACAGAAAAAGAGACTTCGAAAGAAACTCCAATTATGGTCAGTGCTTATGCAAATGTTTTGGAAGACAGCATAGACGGCGAATTTGTGCAGTTTACTGAGTTGCTCAAAACAGATTTTTTTTTAAATTGGATAAGGACTAATATATATGGCACGTGCTGACATGTGGATGTGTGGTGACAGTACGAAAACCGAATCTCTGGAAATTCGATATCATGCGTCCCTAATGCTCATAGCCAACGAGTGAAATGCCCTACCAGCGTCTGTTTTTCCTAGTGTGTATAAGCTTAACTTCCTCAAGGTGCGTGTTAATAGGCTTCACTTGAGCAAACCCGCTTCATCGTAGACCTCGTCCTTGCCCTCGGGCCAAATGAAGCTTAAGAGTAAGCCCATTTTTAATTAAAAAAAAAACACAATAAAAAGGGTGGGATTATTTAGATTTTATAATTCTTATTATGGTAAATGTGATAAAATCTACCAAAAAATACAAGGAAGACGCGTATAGTTTTAAATTAGGAAATCACTAAATTTATTTCCTACTTCCATTCTGTAGGCTTTGAGTTCAGCATTTTTGGGATAGTGACCTCTACATCCAGCCTCTTTCTTTTTTAGTTAGCAAGATAAGCGACCGCCATATAAGGTCTAACACAAAAATTTAGTTTCTATTTATTTATAATAGGAAGCCATTAAAAAATAGGTATAAATATTTCATATAACATTGCTAATGTGCCAAAGTGATTTAAGTCGCAATATGAAATGTCAATATACCCTTAAAATGGATCACATAAATGAAAACATTTCGAATGGTAGGACGACATAGAGCTGGCGCTATATGCGGATGATAGCGCCTAATTCACCTCGTTCAGAAGAGTCCACATCCGCCACTGTTAGGATGCAACGTGTGCTGGACCTGTTTCCTTCATGGCTGGATGAGTGTAGGATGGCCGTCAAAATTGGTAAGACGACCGCTCTGCTCACTCGCCGCTTCAGAAGATTTCCACCGCCACTCACGCTCAAAGGCCAGGAGATCGTGTACAAGGTGGATCCATAAGGCCGTGAACTGTCTTGGGTGCCGGATCGCTAGGATGCTGCGAATGACCGTGCACGTCAACTTCGTCGTCCGCAAAGCCAGATGTGCGCGGCCGATGCTCCATCCAGTCCTGGCATATAAGTTGCCAACTAGAACTAAAGCCACCATCCACAAAATGTACGTAAGACCTTAACTAACATATGCTGCTCCGGCCTGGTACGCGCCCCTAGCGATCGATAAAAGCGGCGACTGCAGGCCTAGCAGAACTTGTCATTACGGACCATTGTCGGTGCAGGTCACTACATCCGGAACGACGTTATAACCTAGGAATGGAAACCAACAGTTCACATCCTCACCTCAATAACATCGCGCCGCCACATACTTGGCCCCCGGACGGGCGACCCTATCCAAGAGAACTCCTCTGTATATAGATTAGAGAGTCGAGTAAAACCCACAATGCCACAGAAAGGCCAGTTCAGACTTACCAGATTACCTCCTTTTTCTTATAAATTACCCGACTGCGGCTATCAGCCGCTATCAAACTAATAACGCCTTATCTAAGGCGGTGAGGACCGGCCCATTGTAGTGGGCCATGAGGAAAGCCCGAGTAAAGGGGTATGTACCGAGGCCCGAAACCTGCTGCGAATTCGCGGGAATGCTATACGACAGTCGCTTTGGGGGTGTACAAAAGTTAGTCTAAATTCCACGCCTACTCGCCACGACTTCTCGGACAGTAGCTACCGCTATCCTCGAGAATTCTCCAGAAGACGCATAACTTCTTTTTTAGCTCATATCTAGTTAGCGCATTACACAATTTACATAAGACTCATTTTACTATGTACATACAATTTCATTACAAAAATTCGCTTCCATTCCGTTCCGCAGCAGTGTAAATTGAGCCTTAGGGTCGACCGCCGCCTATGATCTACTGCAACACCAGTGGAATAGTAGGTGCATCTATATGATTGTATGTGACGCAATTAGTTTTACTTATTTTACAATTTTCTATTGTTACACTCTACTCATCTTTCTTAGCATATCCATTCAGCAGTAAGAAGTTTGTTGGAAATTGGTATAGATAACCATTTGTAAATTCTAGAACTGGCTGTCAGACCTTGAGATTTTCGCAACACTGGTGGCGGCGATTGTACACGACTTCGAGCACACGGGCACCACCAACAACTTCCACGTTATGTCCGGTTCAGAGACTGCACTGCTGTACAATGACCGAGCTGTTCTGGAAAACCATCACATTAGCTCTGCTTTCAGGTAAGACTTTTTTAATTTACTATTGCTAACAACCTATCAAAATCTACTACTGAACATGCCCCCCCCCCCCCCATAGATTTCCTCATAGAGATATTTGCCACCGTAGTATTTTATTTTTATTCTACTGTTAACAGCAAGATGCTACTGACCAAGTTGAGTAAAGTACTAAATAAAAACTAAATACGTATGACATGTATTGTAGGCATAAGAAGACTAGTTTCAATTAAATGTACCTATTATGTTCACGTAAACGTAAGAAATTAGTAAAATAAACTATAAAAAATATATGAAATAAAATTAGTAAAACAATTAGTAAAACAATTAATATGAATTGCTCTGCCTGCAATAAGAAGCTACTTCGCACTGACCGTTGCTTAGCATGTAATCAATGTCATTCAAAATATCATATTGAGTGTCTAAATTTAAATAAAGAACAATTCACGGCTTTAACTACTGAATATAAATCAAAGTGGATGTGTCCATCTTGTAGTAATATAACTAAACGTAAACAATCGAATATCAATTTCGCCTGTCCAACAAACGCTTGTAACACTCGTAGAGAAACCATTGAATTCGCCCCTTGAAAATTCAAGCTGTTCATCAACCGATTCCCAATTATTTTCCTCAAACGACGACAATCTCGTCACCATGGGCAAAATTAGTACCTTATTGGATAAAAAACTAAATAATTATCTATCGGATTTCGTGGAAAGTTTTAGAAAAGCATTGAAGGATGACGTCAAAAACCTAGTACAAGCGGAGATGGACTCAGTTGTGCAGCAGCTTAAAGACGACTTTACTGTAACCACTAACTATATATGTGGTGAAAAGTCTTCCGTAAAACAAGAAATTAAAATTAAGAGTCACATAATAAAACACCTAAAATCTGAAACTCTTCGATTTCAAAAGGAGATTAATGTTCTTTTGACCAATCGTTTAACATCAATTGAAAAAATTTCCCGTAGCAAAAATTTAGAAATTCAGTTAGTACCAGAAAGTCGAACTGAAAATCCAATGCTGTTATTCCGCAACCCGTGTAAAACAGTAAATATTCAAATAGATGATGAGAGCATTCATTCTTGCCGTAGAGATGCCAAATACGATATCTCCTCCGATCGCCCTAGAAATATTCTTGTAACACTCATTAACCCACGCTTAAGGGACCAAGTTCTCCGCATGCTATCGTTATAATAAAGGTCAATAAAGACAATCCCTTGAATACCAACAACATCGGATTAAATTGCGAAAAGCGAAAAATTTATGTGACTGAACATCTTTCTTCCGGAATGTAAGGCTCTTCATGCTGCTGCTAGAAATTTTGCAAAGGAGAAGAAATATAAGTATGTATGGGTTAAGTTCGGACGTATATATATTCGTAAGGGAAGACACTGCGGCCTGCATACACATTAGAAATATGGAATGCTAAAACAAGCTGTCATAATATCACAATTTTTTTTTGTTGCTATATTTGGTTTATGTATTTGGGAATTTTACTATTGTATAATGTTAATTTATTATCAAAATGTTAATCGCTTAAGATCAAAAACAAAAGAGTTCTATCTTAATGTACTTAATAATGATTACGACATTATCTGTATAACTGAAACAAACTTAAATAGCACTATTTTCATTGACACTCGCTATAATGTTGTAAGGCGCGACAGATATCAATCAAATGCACGAAAGTCTGAGGGCGGGGGAATTCTAATTGCCGTTAAAGAAGAAATAAATTTTATTTTTCAAGTTTCCTGGAATAGTGAACTAGAAGACTTGTGGATCAGCATATTGCCAAAAGCCACTAATGTTAAAATTATTAATATTTGTCTCTGTTATCTTCCGCCAGATCTGCCTTTAGACTGCATCGATAATTTTTTTACAAACTGTCAAAACGTAATTATGCGATATCGCAACACAGAAAAATTTCTTTGTATAGGGAATTTTAATATACCCGACGTTCACTGGTCTAAATCATCACAGTATAATCATATGATTCCTCTTCACCCGCAAGGTCAAAAAGCTAATCTGTGAACCTTTAGAATATGTAACCTTGACAATCATAACAGTATATCAAATAACAACGGACGATTTTTAGACCTAATTCTTTTCAGTTCGAACAGCATTCAGGTTTATGAAGTGGAGCCATTGAGCCGCTTAGATAACCACCACCCCTCATTAGTTGCAGATATTAATCTTGTTGAAATAAACTCAAATAATTTTAAAAACAAAAAACAAAAACGATCAATTTTTTTCAAAAGCTAATCTTGTCAATTCATAAAGATATTGATAGCATGACTGACGCATTTTACGCAGAGCTTAGGAATATTATTACAAAACATACACCTATGACCAAAATTGACACAAACAACTATCCAGTATGGTTCACACCTGCTTTAAGGCAAAGCTTAGAAGAAAAACTAAAATATCATTGTCGTTTCAAAAAATATAAGAATCCTAGGGATTATGATACATTTTCCATGTTACGCAACAGATGTAAAAAACTTATTAGTAATGACTATAAAAATTTTGTTTCGTCCGTCGAATCTTCTTTAGATGACATAAAATTCTTTTGGCGTTTTGTCAATGACAAGAAAAATAATGCTAATAGTATTATTCCCAAAACGATGAAATATGGTAATCACATCTCTTCCGATGAAAAAGAAATATGTGAGCTTTTTTCTAATTATTTCAGTTCTGTCTTTGCAAACCCAGAGGAGACTATCTTATATTCTCACAATGAATTACCTAATCGTAGTAATTGTAACCTAAGTGATATCACAATCGCACAAGACGACATACAGCAAAAAAGATTGCGAAATTAGACCAAAGAAAAGGCTCTGGACCAGATGGTATTCCTCCTTTATTCATTAAGAAATGCGGCAAGGAATTAAGTAATCCCTTGTGTATATATAATGAAAATCCATTGAAAATATCTCATATTCTTCCAATTTATAAATCCGGCGACAGATCAAATTGCGAAAATTATCGACCCGTAAGCATCTTGTCTTGCCTTGGTAAATTGTTTGAATCATTGGTGTATGATTCTCTTTATCATCATATTCAACCTTTCCTATCGCTTCGACAACATGGCTTCATTAAGAACAGATCGAAAACTTCTAATTTACTTGAATACAAACACTATCTTTGCAGTGCTTTCGCCAAGAGGAAACAGGTTGATAGCATATATACCGATTTCTCAAAAGCATTCGATAGAGTAAATCATATTATTTTATGTATCAAATTAGCATGTTACGGAGTACATGGGAGTCTGTTGAGATGGACTGAATCATACCTCAACGGGAGAAGTCAGTTAGTTACTATAGAAGGTTTCAAATCCTCACCCGTATCTGTGACATCGGGTGTGCCACAAGGTTCCCATTTAGGTCCTTTATTTTTTATTACGTTTATTAACGATCTCATTGAAAAATTGACACGTCCATGCCTGTTGTATGCAGATGATTTGAAGATATTTTCCGTTATCGATACACTCAGCGATTCGTTCAATCTTCAGTCGAATTTAGACTCCATTCATAATTGGTGTAAAGAAAACCTAATGCATTAAACGAAAAAATGTTTTGTCTTATCATTTAGTAACAAGAAGCACAGACTAACGTTTGAGTATAAAATAAATGGTCAAGTACTTGATAGAAAATCCGTAGTTAAGGATCTTGGAATACTGTTTGATGAAAAGCTTACGTTTCGTGATCATTACGATCATGTGATATCTAAAAGTACAAACTTCTTGGCTTTATATTTAGAACTGCAAAGACTTAAAAATCCACGAAGCTTTCTTATTTTGTACTGTTCCCTAGTACGCAGTATTTTAGGGTACAACATAATTATTTGGTTTCCATACTACGCTGTACCACGTAGATCGTATTGAACGTGTTCAAAAGAAATTTCTATCAATCCTCTGCTATAGGTACGGTTTAAATAGAAGTCTGCCCTCCTATGAAGAGAAACTGAAAAAGTTTAACATTATATCACTACAAACTCGGTGTAAATATCAGGATATGACTTGCCTTTTCAAAATTATTCATTCCTTTATAGATTTCCCCCACCCTCCTTTCATTTATCAAGATTAATACTAAGCCCCATCGTCGGTATACTTTCCTAAATACTTTCGCTTTGCAAGTTTATAGCAATAATACGTCCTATTACAATCCTCTTGTAAGAATGTGTCGCCTATATAATGACTTATTGATTAATAATAGTAAAAATATCGACATTTTTAATAACAAATTAAACAATTTCAAAAAATCCGTATTAGATATATTTTGTAAATAAGGCATTCAAGGCTTAAAACTTAAATTTAAATGTATAGGTAAATGAGCATTATTTTAATAAAGATTTAATTTTTCAAAATTTTCCACAACATAAGTTCATAAGTATAGTATGTTTATAAGTAAAGTTATAATTATTTGTGCTGTAAAACCGTTACTGTTACTTAATATCATGTTGTGTGCACATGTTTTGAAATACCATCCAGATTGTAACTTTGTATTTATTATTTTCAATGGTTCATGTTTTGGTGTTATTCTGTTTTGTGTACCTAAATAAATAAATAAAAAAAATCATTACAAATTTTGGCACCTGATAGAATAGAATAGAATAATTTTTAATTCAATATTGATTACATGTAATTCTTATTGAAAGTCATTTTTAAGTACTTTACCACTGGTTCGAATAAAATCTCTGTCCTGGGAAGAATCAGCAAGAAACCTAGCGGGACTTTTTTTTTAAATAAATTTTACAATGTTAGTCAAAAAATATTTACAAAATTTATTTTAGAAACAGCTTGGAAGCGACCACCTCATTCCCAGGGGTCCCCTCAATCCCTAAGAGGTCGAATTCGACCGCGGCGCTATTCCGTCAAACTCCCAAGCGATCGGATTCGACCGCGCACACCCACAGCACTTTAAACAATTAAAACTTATATTTAGAGACTACTTTTCTATGAAGAAGTTTGGCATTATAGAATCAATATGAAATTTTCTATCCTC